GGGGTCGTTGCCCGGGCGACGCCTCTTCGATTGGCACCCGGGTCCGGGGGCGGGAAGAGCCCCGGCAGTCGCTCGGGTAACGGTTCTGGGGCTGTGGGCGGGGCCAAAAGATGGGCGCGGCCTCCGTGTGGCTATCCGACTTGTGATTGGCTGCAGGGGCAGGGCCCTCAGGGGAAGAGGGCGTGGCCAGTTGGAAATCTCAGTCCCTAACAACGGCGCTCTGGGGACTGTTTGCCTAGCAACGGAGAGACCCTCAAGAGATAGCTTTCTTCAAATTGGATCCTTCCTATGACGTCAAAGCTGACCCCAGCTGATCCTTGTGTCTTCTTAGAGCTCCAACAATACACCCTACTGACCTCCAACAATACACCCTACTGACCTCCACTGACAGTTCAAAGTCTGGCTGACCACAAGCATCACTTCTCCCCCACCCCTTGATGGTCCCTCAAATCCTGGCGGACCCCTGCGTATCCACAAGCCCCCCCAGGATTCCATCTGATCCACTATTGGTTAATTTTTCACTAACCTCCCTATATATATAATCCATGACTTCATTATCTTCAATAACCACACACCTCCAAAACCCATGTCTGCTTCTAAAATTTTATTGGTTCCTGCATTGTCACCAGTGTCCCAATGATCGATCCAGTAACCCAAAGTCTCCCCTCACTTCTGCTGAAGACACCCGTGCCCTAAACCCATGTACTCAGTGACTTCCCAGATTTCTTTTTCAGAATGCCCCAGAGGTATTTCACACTCAACAAGTCATATGGTGAACTTGGCATCTTACTCCAAATCCTGCGCCTCTCTGTGTCCCGGTCTTAGGGTCACCTGGGCCACAGACCAGGTGTCTTCCTAGATTTGTACCATTTCTCTTCACTCCCTTTCTCTTCCAGTTCCCAAGTCTTTTGCTTTCCACTGCCTGAATTCCTCTTTCCTCGTTCTTTCCTCTCTACAGCCCTGTCCAAACTCGTCTTCGGCTTCCTGAGACCCCCCATCACCTGCATCAATCTTGTTTCTGGTTTCCAAGCCTGCTGTGTCACCCCTACCTACCCTCCCAATAGGGGCTGGCAGGGCCTAGGCTGGCATTTAGAAGGATCTTTCTAAAACACAAATATGTTCAGGACCTTCTATTGCTGGTGACCGCCTGCCATCCCTAGTGCTCTCAGGGTAAAGTTAAGCCCTGTGTGATCTGGACCCTGCCAATTTCTCTTTCTAACCTTATCTCTCACCACTACCCCTTCACTCTTCACTCTAAGTCCCATGTAAACATGTTTGAGAAAGTACCTCAGTACATCACATCATACTCTCCTGCTCTTGGGGCTTTGCACATGCCATTCCCTATGCTGGGAATGCCCTTCCCCATTCTTTTCTTGACCCTATCAGAGTTGCTCAGGAGCTCTGTCAGTCCTCTGAGCCCCATAATCTGAGTTGCCATTGTCTGTCTTTTGTGTAGTGTTTGAGCCCAGGAAGGCAAGGCTGGAGCTACTTGGTCACCTCTGTGTCCTGGGCACAGGACTGGGCTGACAGGAGTCCTGTTTAATGACTACCAGGCAATGTTTGTGTCCCCAGAAGAGCCCCACAGCCCTGGCTTGGCATCCAGGTCAACAGATGTGGTGAACAGATGAATGAATGACTTGGCCCTGCTGGGGGGGCGGGACCCAGTTTATTTTGAGAAGCTTCCTTTCTGCCCTCCAGGGGCGGGAAGCAAATCAGTAGTGAGAACACAGCTCAAAACTAACTATACATAAGGGAAAGCTGCTGTCTACCTGCTTGGGGAAAGAGACTCAGTCTTCCAGGTCCTCATCCTCGTCCTCCTCCTCATCTTCCTCCTCCTCCTCTGCGGCCGCCAGGGCCTGCTCCTGGGCAGCCTTGAGGGCCTGCTCCTCCTCCACCGTGGGGTCGTTCATCTCGGTGATCTCTGGGCCGCTGGGGTACTCCTGCTGAATGGGGGCTGGCAGGGCCGGGTTGAAGTTGTCGGGGCTGTACTTGTGGCCCCAGCCAATGTAGAGGTTCTCAAACTTCCTAAAGAGCAGCGAGATATCAGGAAACTTAAGGATGAGAGCAAGCATAGGCATCACTGATTGCAAAGTCACTAGGGGACAGGTGAAACGCGCCCACCAGGGTTTCTCGCAGCTATTCCCTGAGCACCTGTTCTGCACAGACCCAGCGCCTGTGGCTATAGAGCGCTTCAAAAGTGGCGACTGGGAATGGAGAACTGAATTTTAAATTTTATTTGATTTCTTAAGTTGCTTTGTGATTTCCTCTCTGACTCATTTGTGATTTAGACTTGTATTTTTTTTTTTTTGTCAAACATTTGTGAATTTCTCCTGTTTCCTTCTATTACTGATTTCTAATTTCATTCTGTGGTGGTCAGGGAACATATTTTATATGATTTCAATCCTTTTCTATCAAATGAGATTTGTTTTACGACTCAGTGCAAGATCTGTCCCAGAGCATGTTTTGTGGATAGGCCTAAGACGAAGGGATTCTGCTGTCGTTGGTTGAAGTGGATTTTATTTAATTTTAGTGAATTTCAATTTAAATAATAAAACTGATACTCAGTTCCATTAATGGAAAACTTCTTAGTAGGCCTGGAGCAACTTGGGAACAAGGACTTCCTCTTTTAACTGTAAATGTTGTGAAGTCTTTCTGATGAAAATTTAGCATCCAGATTGAGACATGCTGCGTATACAGACTCTGAAGACTTAGTGTGAAACAAGAATGAAAAGTAGCTCATTAATGATTATTTCATGATTGATATCACCAAGTAATTATAACATCTTAGATATTCAGGATAAATATGTTACTAACATTCATTTTGTCTGATTATTTTACTAGGAAATTTTTATTTACACATGTGGTTCATGTTATTTATGTCGAACTTAAATAAAATGGTCCAGGTGTTGGGGACACAGCAGTAAATAAATGAGACAAAGTGGCCCTGCTGTCAGTGTTCTGGTGAGAGGCTGAATAAGCAAGAAGGGATCCTTAATCCTCATTCTACCAATTCTACCTGTCCAGAGAAGGAAAGAGGAGCAGAACAAGAGGAGGGGACTAAGGGACAGGGAGAGACAGACAGGGAGCCGGGCAGAGAGAACTAGAGGGAGCAAGAGAGAAAGACACAGAGACACAGGGCTCTGGCCCTGGAGGAGCAGTTTTATTTTGACCTTATTTTCATGGCTTTGCAATTCTCAAGAGCATTCTTGACAACTCTCCAGGGCTCTCTGGGAGCCTTCCAACACATGGCTTCCTTGGAAGCCCCCCAATCCCCGCCTGTCCTGGCTCCAGTAGCTTTGAAGGTTTGGCCTCACCAGGGAGCTTGACAGAAATGGGGAATCTCAGACTCCATCCCAGACACATAGAACCAGAATTTGCATCTTAGCTAGATCCTGGCTGAGTCTGCCACCCACAGAACAGGACGCTGGGGATCGGAGGCTCCTTTTGCCTGCCTCTCCCTGACACCTCTTTCTTTTCCTGCAGAATTCAGATTAAAGGGTGTTTTTCCTTCCCTGATCCCCTGATGCCCTAGGAAAAATGGCAGTGTGGTACTGTCAGTGGGCCCTGCACTCTCCTGGTGGCACTTACAAGACTTTGTCACAGAGTATTTGGTGGGAGGGGTGGAAGGAGTGTTGTACAAGTAATGCCTGTGCTCCCTCCATCTGCTCTGGGGCCTGGGGTCCAGCACATAGCTGGCAAATAGTTTACTTCAAGGTTTTCTTCTTTTTGGTAGTGGGATTGAACCCATGCACTTTAAGACATAGCTACATCTCTAGCTCTTTCTTTATTATTTTATTTTAAATTTGAGACAGGGTCTTGCTAAGTTGCTGAAGCTGGCCTCTAACTTGTGATCCTCCTGCCTCAACTACCTGAGTCACTGGAATGACAGCACATCTCACCAGACTGGCTTAAGTCTTTATGAAGGAAAAAAAAAAAAAGTGGATGGATAATGGATGGAGACTGGGCGGCTGAATGGGAGGGTGGGTGAATTGGTGGTTGGATGGGGAGGAGGATGGATGAGCAAGTGGAGCTCAGACTCTGGAACTTTTGCTCTCAGAGGGCTGTAGGTAAATTAGGGTGTGATCAGAAGAAGCCTTTTGGCAAAAGCAAATGTGCCTCTTCCAAGCTTCTGGAGAAGAAAAAAATAGCCAAGAATGTGGTTAAGAGCTGGGCGCAGTGATGCGAGCCTCAGATCCCAGCGACTCCAGGGACTAAGGCAGGAGGATGGCAAGTTGGAGGCCAGCCTCAGCAACTGAGCAAGGCCCTAAGCAACTTGGCAAGACCCTGTCCCAAAAGTAAAAATTAAAAGGGCTGGGGATGTAGCCCAGTGGTAAATTGCTCCTAGGTTCAATCTCTAGTACAGAGAGAGAGAGGGAGGGAGAGAAAAGGATGTGGTTAAAGTATCAAGTTACATGAAATCCCACCGTGACAACATGGGGTTGCAGCCCAGGTTCACATTTATAGGGAAAAAGGAAATCTATGAAAATCATCCTGCCCTCTGGTGGTCAGGGCTGGTAGCACCCCGAGGAACTTGAGGGGAGTGCGGAGCCAGGATGGGAGGAGACAGGGGTGACTTCAGTTTGCCCATCGTTTGACAGCAACTGAAGCAGGATCCTGGTGGGAAAGATTTCTGCACTAGAGAGAGAAGACCCTTAACTGGAAGATCCAGGGGACCCAGGAGAGGAGTCGGGTCCCCCAGAGATGAGACTCCCTGTCAGAGATCCAGGTTTAAATCCCACAAGTGTGGCCCTGGGCCAGTCTCTTCCCCTCTCTGATCCTCCATTCTTTCCTCCAAGGGGTTCACACTTTCATCTGGCATTTTTTTGTTTGGAGTGGAGTCTCTGTTGCCTAGGCTGGCCTCGAACTCTTGGGCTCAATATCCTCCTGCCTCAGCCTCTGGAGTAGCTGGGGACGTGGGCTCATGCACTGGCCCAGCACGGGACATCTCATCCTAGCCCCAGGGGAAGCCCTGTGAGCTGGGAAGGTCAGTCCTGGCGGCTCCTGAGGGGCTCTCCCAGGCTCTCCCACCCTAGGGAGCTTCCCTGTCGACCCCGGTCCTGAAGAAGACCTAGGGGGTCTCCTGCTGGAAGGGACAGGGACAAGACCTACTTGCCACTCGCGTAGGTGTAGGCCCCTGGCCAGAGGTTGGAGCGCACCACGGCCACCGAGTACTGCGGACAGAGGGTGCAGGACAGGCGGGTGGTCCAGGGTGACAGGTGCATGATTTCTGCAGTGAAGAAGCGGAGAGTGATAGGGAGATCAGGGGTCCCTGTGTCCAGCATGGCCTCCTCCAGAGGAGGTGGGGGACAGGAAGGGAACAAATCTGGAGGACTGGAAGGCCCAGGGGAACTGCCACAAACCAGTGCACAGTCTTCGGCTTCTGCCTAGGCCTCAGGGACATGGGGATACTCATCTTGCAGGGTGACCAGGAGGCCTGGTGACAATGTCTGCAGTGTACCTGCTGCAGTGTCGGGCACCAGCCAGCCCTCCTAGGTCTGTCATCAGTGCGGATCCAGCTGCTGAGGGCAGGGCGCAGGCTGCAGACTCACGGAATCTGGGTTCACATCCGGGCTCTGTCCCCTCACCCTCTCCTACCCTCTCTGAGCCTCTCCTTCCTCTTTCCTTCAGGTACCTCAACCTCAAGAAATCCCTGTCACTGGGCACAGTGGCACTCCTGCATAACCAGAGGCTCAGGAGGCTGGGGCAGGAGGATCACGAGTTCAAGGCCAGCATCAGCAACTTAGCAAGGCCTTAAGCAATTCAGTGAGACCCTGTCTTAAAATTAAAAAATAAAAGGAGCTGGGGATGGGGCTCAGTGGCTAAGCACCCCTGGGTTCAATCAGAAAGAAAGGAAGGAAGGAAGGAAGGAAGGAAGGAAGGAAGGAAGGAAGGAAGGAACAAAGGAAGGAAGAGAAATCCCTGTCCACTCATACAAAGTCCAGCCCAAGTCTTGCCTCCTCTGCAGGGGCCTCCCTAAGCATATATCCCTCCCCCAAGTCCACATGGGACTCAAAGGAGTCCTGTCTTCAGATCAGGGCCATTGCCAGGTGCCAGGTGTGATTCCAAATATGGTTGCATTACCATAACCCATGGGGAGGCAGTTCATGATGCCCATTTTACAGATGAGAGCAACTGAGACCTGAAGAGATGGCCTCACTGATGGATGGCCCTGGGCAGTCTGCCTACCCAGCCCTCCTCAAGCCTCCCTATAAACCCTACCTGCATCCTCGGAGAGCGGCGTCAACAGTGGGGGCCCGACCTCCTGCTCCACCTCCTCTATTCCCTCATCCGCCTTCTCTTCCTCCTCACCCAGCTCTTCCTCCTCCTCTGTCTTCTGCAAAGGGTTCACCCAAGTGCAGCGACCCTGGGGGTGGAGGAAAAGTCAGGTGACATCCCCAGTGTCAGAAGCCAGGGTTGGAGGTGAGGGCCAGGCAGGACACTGGAACACTGGCCCTGTCCTTAGGGACCCAGGTATAGGCAGGAAGACAGGATTAGTTACCCAGGCCAGGGGCCTGGGGAGAAAGGGTGGAGAGATGATCCTAGTGAGGTGGAGCCTCCTACCTACCATTGACTATGATCCCCATATTCACTTATTGATAGTTCTTTTTTTGTACCAGGGATTGAATCCAGGGGCAATTAACCACTGAACACATCCCCAGCCCTTTTTATTTTTTATTTTGAGACAGGGTGTCATTAAGTTGCTTAGGGCCTTGCTAAACTGCTGAGGCTGGCCTTGAACTTATGATCCTCCTGCCTCAGCCTCCCTAGTCTCTGGGATTACAGGACTTGTAAAAATATTGATCATATATTTAATGAGCAACTGCTAGATGCAGGCCCTGCTCTGGGTGCTGGGGACACATCCTTGAGCAAAGAGACCTTAAAATTTCTGCCCTCAAATGGCTGACACTTGGCAGCCCATGTCCTCTCTCTGCTTGTCTGTGGAATGGAGGTGTGCCTTTCACTGGATTGTTGTTGGATTCCACAGACACTCAAGAGCCAAAGAATGCTGCTACTTACACTTCCGCTTCCTCCTCTTCTCCTTCTTCTTCTTCTTTGTGTGTGTGGGAGGCTGGAATTGGAACCCATGCTGTTCTACCACTAAGTTCCATCCCCAGCCCTTTTTAAAATTTTGTGATAGGGTCTCATTAAGTTGCTAAGGCTGGCCTCCAACATTCAATCCTCCTGCCTCAACCTCCCAAGTTCCTGGGATGGCAGGTGTGAGCCTCTCACCTAACTTGCTGAATGCTTCTTTTTTGGCAGGGGGTGGGGGATTGAACTCAGGGGCACTTGACTACTGAGTCACATCCCCAGCCCTGTTTTATATTTTATTTAGAGTCAGAGTCTCACTGAGTTGCTTAGCGCCTTGCTTTTGCTGAGGCTGGCTGTGAATTAACTCATGATTCTCCTGCCTCAGCCTCCTGAGCCACTGGGATTATAGGCGTGCACTACTAAGCTGCCCAGAGCTGAATGCTTCTTGAAGGAATGAACTCAAGTGCACAGCATAGAGAGATCCCTATCTCATCACTATGGAATAGGAATGGTCAGTTGTACTGATCTGGAAAGGAGTCATTTGACCCAGTACAGGGTTATTTGGATTCAAAAAAGGGAATTATTTAGATTCAATAAAACATAAAGTCTACAATTAAAAAATTAAAACCCCATAAAGTCAATAACAGTTTAATTAATTAAAAGTTCCTCCCACATGCAGCAAGTGCTTCCTTGAATGAATAAATGTATGATGTACAGTTGGGACGTACCAGGCATGCAATAAATGCAGACCCATGACCCTTGGCTCACAATTTAAAATCTGAAAAGCTCAGAATGCCACAAATGTTTGGAGACTGGGGATGTGGCTCCATAGAAGAGCACTTCCTAGCAGCCCAAGACCCTGGGTTTGATTCCAAGCACCACAAAGAAGAAAAAATTTTTTTCATCAGTCATTTGGCAGGCCAGGAGCAGGGTACTCGCCTATAATCCCAGCTACTGGGGAGGATGAGGCAGAAGGATTGCAAGTTCAAGGCCAGCCTCAGAAAATTCAGGAATCCCTGTCTCAATTAACAAACAAAAAGGGGGCTGTGTTTGTGGCTCAGTTGGTAGAGCACTTGCCTAGCATGTGCGAGGCACTGGGTTCAATTCTCAACACCACATAAAAAATAAATAAGTAAAATAAAGGTATTTTGTCCATCAACAATCCAAAAAGAAAAAAAAATAAGAAAAAAGAAAAAGGGCTGGGGATGTAGCTCAGGGGTAGAGGGAGCTTGAGTTCAATTCCTAGTACAAAAAAAAAAGTGTTTAACTCTGTGTGTGTGTGTGTGTGTGTGTGTGTGTGTGTTTTGGCAGCAACCTGAGCTGATGAGAGGTTTACTCCAATTTGCTACAGAAATATTGATGCATTCACCTATGGGCTGGAGTCCCCCTGCCCATTGCCTGACGTGTTCACAATGTATGGTGCATGCAGTGAACCATCCTTTTAAAATCTGAAAAAATTCTGATCTTCAAAATGTTGCTGGTGCCAAGGACTCCCAATGGGCATTATCAACCAATGCCTGTTGAATAAAGGAAGGAGGGATGGGAAGATGGATGGATGGATGGGTGGGTGGATGGATGGGTGGATGGGGTAGCAGAATAGGGGATGGATGGATGGATGGGTGGGTGGGGAGATGGATGGGGGTAGGGGGTGGGGGATGGATGGACGGATGGGTGGGGAGATGGATGAGTGGTGACTGGATAGATGGGAGTAAAGGGGATGAGGGAGGGATGGATGGATGGGGGATGGATGATGGATGGATGGGTGGGTGGGTGAGTATTATTGAACACAAGGCCTTGATCCTATGCGGATTATACCCGAGTTACCCTGCTCTGCGCTGGGCGTGGAGGGTGGGGCCCCAGGTCCTCACCTGCGGCAGGATGTGCTGCATGTGGTGCACCCAGTTGGCCAAGGAGTCGACCATCTCGAGCACTGGGATGCCCTCAAAGTCGGGGTTCTCCTCAAAGGAGTCTCGGCCCGCGCCGCCCTCCTCCTCCTCGTCGCCCTCCTCCTCGCCAAACTGGTAGAAGCCTAGCGGGCTGATGTGCGTGGCGGCCGAGATGCGCGCGATCTGGGCGCGCAGGTAATTGGCCTCGTTGCCGGGGAAGGGCGGGTAGCTGATGACCGGCGCGTCCAGGTGGCCGGTGAAGAACTTCTTGATCTTGCGGGCGTGCACGATCTGCGCGGGCGTGACGTGCGGCAGCCGCGTCCAAGGCCGGCCCGGCTCGTTGCACACGAAATACAGGTACTTGTTGGCGCCGGTGCGGCTGTCCTCCTTGGGGATGGCCGGCGGCGGCTTCCACGTGGGCTTGGGGATAACGTCCACCGCCTTCTCCTCGTCCTCCTCTCCCTCCTCCTCGCCGTGCGCCTCCACGACCTCGCCGCCCTCCATCAGCTCCTCCACCTCCTCCTCCTCGGCCTCCTCCTCGCCCTCCCGGAACTCCACCTCGGCCACCAGGTAGCTGCGCTGGAGCCCCAGGATCTTGCCCCAGAAGCGGCACGTGTGAATGGGCTGCTGCTCCACCAGCTGCTTCAGGGCCAGGAAAATGCGGAAACTCTCCACCGAGCTCAGGCCCACCCCGGCCTGTTCGAAGTAGAAGGCGGCCTCCATGATGTTGGGCACCGCGGTCTCGACCTGGGGAGGCGGGAGGGAAGAAGGCTGAAGCTCCCTGCGCCCTCGTCTGACTCTGGAGTCAAGCAACCGAAAACACTATGTAGCTGAAGGGCTCATGATAGCAGTTTTGGCCAGTGAGTTCAGGGGATGTCCCTGGGGAGAATGTCCCTTGGTGGAAAAGAAAACCACACTGAGGAATCAGCGAGGTCAGAGGATGGAGCGGGAAGACCTGCCCTCACTGCCTCCTGCTCCACCATCTTCTTGGATGGGGGCCAGGGGCCCTGGGGAAGGGGGCTCAGAAAGGGTGAGAACAACTTGAGAGCTGAGAATGGAATCCAGCAGAATCCAGTGAGATTTGGGGGACTACCCACATTTGAATATGTGAGGCGCTGAATACTGATAATCCCATTTGATGCAGAGGATACAAACTTTTTTTGGGAGGGGCTATCGGGAATTGCACTCAGGGGCACTCGACCACTGAGCCACATCCTCAGTCCTATTTTTTGTATTTTATTTAGAGATAGGGTGTCACTGAGTTGCTTAGCCCCTTGCTTTTGCTGAGGCTGGATTTGAACTCACGGCCCTCCTGCCTCAGCCTCCCAAGAAGCAGTGATTACAGGCATGTGCCACCACTACACCTGGCCTCCAAACTTTTTTAAAAGTTCAATTTTGAGGGCCCAGGTGAGGCTCAGTGGGGGGAGCTTCATCTGGGGGAGCCCTGGGTTCATCCCCAGCACCACAAAGCAAAAACAAAAACAAAGCAAAACAGAACAAAAAACTCAATTTGGAGCACAGTGTTGAAATGGACAATGGACTCCATCTTCCTCCCAGGTCTGCTGGGTGACACTACTGTTCACAGATGTTTGAAGTCTCTCCCTCCCCATCCCCCCCGCCTTGCCACTTCCTTTGACCCGTGGAAATAACAGCAGGAGGGATGTGTGTCTTGCTCAGGGCAGAAATGTAAGAGCCCATGTGCAGTCTGCAAGCTGTGCCTCAGTACACCCTCCTTCACCAGGCTCCCAAGGGACCCAGTGGCTCAGCCCTTCGGCCAGCCTGGGGGGACAGCTGCACCAGCAAGAACTGCGACATGTGGCTCTCAGCTGCTGGTGGCTTGTGTGGTCCTAGGCTAGAGAGACCACTCCCTGACTCACACTCTGGGAGGATGATTCTTTTTAAAGTGATTCTGGCATTTTCCCTCAATCTGAAATGATGCAAAAGTTCAATCTCTAGCCCATGTTGCCTGTCAGCAACTCAGGAGGCAGAGTCAACACCCAACCCCATGACTTGCCATCTTGCAGCAGGGAGGGAAGTTGAAGGGTTAGGTGTGGGCAACTATTCGGGGTATGTGCTTGGCGGGCCCATGAACCCACCACCATCCCTTTTCTGGAACCCACCACGCACAGGTTTCCCCAAATGGCAGATCAGACCCTGCTCTGTGGCTGGATGCAGAGATGGCATGAATGGCACCCATTGCCCGGAAATCATTTTCTGGGACAACTGGGTTTGAACTTAGCTGTTCGGACCCCAGAGGCCATGTTTGTAGCTCTTATTCTACATCCACCCCCCCCTCCCCAGCTTCCTGGCCTGGACTTTTGTTGTTGTTGTTTGTTTGGTACTGGGGATTGAACTCAGGATCACTGAGCCACATCTCCAGACATATTTTGTATTTATTTAGAGACAGGGTCTCACTGAGTTGCTTAGCACCTCACTTTTTTGCTGAGGCTGGCTTTGAACTTGTGATCCTCCTGCCTCAGCTTCCCAGTCACTGGTATTACAGGAGTGCGCAAACCTACCAAACTCTGTGGCCCGGACTTTGTTCCTTTTTCTCTCTCCCAGTTACCATACACAGGAAAATACCACCTGGGATCTGGGAGAAAAGAATTCCTAGTGGCAATTGGGTGCATTAATAATAATAATAATAATAGGTTTGTTTATTTATTTATTTTTACGTGGTGTTGAGGATTAAACCCAGGGCCTCACATGTGCTAGGCAAGGGTTCTACCACTGAGCCACGTCCCCAGCCCTGGGTGGAATTTTTAACAAGTTAATGTGCAACTGGGGGGTTTGGGGGCTCCATGCCACCACGTGGAAGGACAAGTTGGCCCAAAGAAAAAGTAGCGGAGATGGGAAGAGAAGCCTAGAGGTGATGTGACCCATTGGGATCCCTGATTCCAAGTTGTGCCTGAGATCCAGCCCTGTCCCTACCCTTGAATTCCTGCTCAACCCAGAACAGTCCCCAACCCCTTCTCCACCTCCACCACCCACCTTGTCTGCCAAAGAGATGCCAGTGGAAGCTTTCTGAGGCACTTCTGGGAAACTTTTGTACCTCTGATTTTTAAAAAAGGAGGGAGACATACAAACAAGCAAAATATCCCTCCTTTTCTGGAAGCTGGTGTGGATGTCTGGGGCAGTGGTAGCCACTTTGCAAACAAAAAGTGACTGGCTCAGGAATGAAAGGTGGACCTGATGAAGAAGGTGGCACAGGTGTGGGAAAGAGCTAAGTTCCTCCTGGCCTTGCAGGGCTTCTGCACCAGCTCTGCCCACTTCCAGGTGTTGTTGTTGTTTAATCTTCTTGTTTTCAGAGATGCAGTCAAAGATGTATTTAGGAAAGCAGAGACACATTCAAGCCACGGTGTCTTGCTGAACTGCTTGGACTGCTTTAATCAAACACTTGCACCAAAAATAAGCCTGACTGACTGCAGTGGACAGAACCGAGTTCAGGTCAGGCTGCTCTGATGCTAGGAACTGCTCTCTTGGTTTAAGAACAGGGAGGGAGGTTGAGTGCCCGGGGAGGGCAGTGCTCGGTGCCCCTCCACGGGGGAGCCACTTTGCCAGTCCTAGACAGTCAGCACCTGGCTATGATATGTGAGGCAACGGTGGATCTTGTCCAAGCCACTTGTGTCTATTTCTCCAGAATCATATGTTTCTTAACTTAAAATGATCTTCCTTGTCAAACAAGTACAGTAAGGTGTTAGTTTTTGGAATGTGGTTTAAAAAATAACTATAGTCTAAAATTATAAATGAGACGAGTCAGACACTTTTCAAAACAGAGGTACAGGATGGGAAGTGTGCTACCAAAATAGCAAGCCCTGCTGCCAGACGGATGCACACCGCACACAGGAGGAGCCCTCCCAGGGCACAAGGTGTGCACAGTGCAGCGACGCGGAAACCTGAGTCCATCCCAGAGAAAACAGTGCTACAGATAGCCTTTCTTTTTCTTTCTTCACTCCCCCCCCCAGATTTATTTAGGAAAAGCAGATACAGATTCAAGGGAGAATGTGGGCTATCACAAGGGAGAGATGTCTTTAAGGGTAAAAAAGAAATAAAAGAAAAAGTAAGAAATACAATTCCAGGAAGAATACCGCCATCTTGAGAGTAAGAAGCTTTTGAGGTAAAGCAAGGAACACCCAAGGGAGAGTGCGCGCCAGCTCCGGAGGTGGAGACAGCCGGGGGTGGCACTTCAAGAAACTTGAGAAAAAGAATGAATTATTCTATAAATACTTCTAGGGATTGTGTGTACCTAGCCATTTGGAAGAAATAGAAAATTCGAGAATTTAAGAGATTTGCTCAGACAAGACAGAAAAACAAAACGCTTAGTCATTGATTTCTTTAGGGAAACAGCACCCACAGTTTTGCCATATACTGACCCAAACTGAGAATTCTTGTTTTTCTCTTTTTTGGTACTTGAGATTGCACCCAGGTGTGCTTTACCACTGAGCCATATATGCTCAGGCTTCTTCTTCTTTCTTTCTTTTTTTTTGGTGGTGGTGCTGAGGATTGAACCCAGGGCCTTGTGCATGCAAGCTAGTGACAAGCACTCTTCCAATGGAGCTATATTCCCAGCTTACTGTTTTTTTTTTTTTTTTTGGTTGGTACCAGGTATTGAACTCAGGGGCATTTAACCACTGAGCACATCCCCAGCCCTATTTTGTGTTTTACTTAGAGACAAGGTCTCACAGAGTTGCTAAGGGCCTCGCTAAATTGCCGAGGCTGGCTTTGAACTCGCGATCCTCCTGTCTCAGCCTGCCTAGGCGTTGGGATTACAGGCGTCCCCCACTGCGTCGGGCTCCCTTCTTGTTTTGAGAAAGGATTTTGGTAAATTGCTAAAACTGGTGTGAATTTGCGATGCAGAGTGTCTGGGATAACAGGCATGCGCCATCCGCCGGCGCCAGCTCTGCAGTTCCAAGGGGGTGGGTATCCCAGAACAAGGCATCCTAAAAGGGCGGAGCATCACTCGGTTTACCCATCTACGGGGGCGGGTCTTCAGGGAAAGGCGGCCTGAGGGGTGAAGCCTCCCTTTCTGTGGCGTTCTAAGGGGGCGGGCCTCTGAGGCACAGCGTTCTAGGAGGTGGGGCCATCAAGGACGTGGGTTAGATGCGGGTGTAGTTCTAGGGGGTGAAGTGGTGGTCTGAAGTTTGAACCCGTATTCTCAGGGCAGTTAAAAGCTGCCCTTCCGGCGTAGCGCTTGGATTCTCCGGTGCGCTCGGCTCACCCATGGGTTCATTCATTTGTCACAGTGCAGTTCCTGAGTCTTCCCACCCCACTGTGTGCAGAGTCCTAGAATCAGAAACGGCCGAGCAACAAGCCTTATCTACATGTGTAGTAGAGGCTGCAGCCTGGGCTTTAGAGGTCGTGGTCCTGCCTTCCTTTCCCTTTCTTGGGCACTTTCTAGTTGAGTGCCCTCTGAACCTCAGTTTCTAACTCCATAAAATGAGAATCATAAATAACATCTGCCTGGCGGGGTTGTTTCAAAATAAGACAACACTCCTGGATCCCTTAGCAAGCGACTAAAGATGTCAGGATTATTAGATCCTAAACAAAAGTTTGTTGAACTGAAAGAACATTTCACCTACATTTTAAGCATCATCTAATTCTGGAAACCTGTGGATGGCAGCAGGTTACCGAGTCGCGGGTGGAAGAGTCCCCGGCAGGACTTAGTTGACACACGGGGAACTAAGGCTGGGGGAAGGGGAGCCATGGATTCAGAGTCAGGGGCCCTGGGTTTCTGGAAGACGTCCCAGGGCGCAGTTATTTTCTGGAGAGGGAGGTGGGGGCTAAGGTGTGGTAGGGAGACAGCCTCGGTGTCCACGTGACAGCCGGGGGTCAGCTACCTAACAGCGGAGCCGCCCGGCCTTTCCCCTGCTTCCAGGCTCGCACCGCGCCCCGGGAGCGGCAGAGGAGCTTCAAGGCCCTCTGCGCCCCGCCCACCCACGCACCAGATGAAGTCCTTCAGCCAGGTCTCAGCCCAGGCCGCACCCTAAGCCCGGGTCCCCACGGCGCCCCCCTACGCCTCTCCCCGCTGGCTCACTCACCACCTCCTCCTCCATCTCCTGCTCGCCCTCGCCGCCGCCGCCGCCGCCACCGCCGCCCCGACTGAACAGCGCCTTCTGCTTCTCTGCCATCTCGTAGGTGGGCTGCATCTCGGGGTCATTCCGCAGCGTGTCCATCTTGGGGTGGAACCACTCCCACTGCGTGGTGCGGTTCAGAGACTCCAGGATCGACAGGGGGTCCTCGGGCCGCTGGTTCAGGATCTTGGTCAGCAGGTTCACCAGGTGTTCATACCTACCTCCCCGTGGGGAGGAGTGGAGGACAGAGTCTAGTCAGTTCACTGGAGACACAGTAGGGAAGAGAAAAGATCCCTGCCCTTGTGGAACCGACCTTCTGACGACGGAGACGCCATTGATCACATAGGCAGAATGTATATCGTGCCAGCCAGGGGGTGGCAATTTCTTTGTTGTTTTTAGAACCCAGGGGCACTTTACTACTGAGTTACACCCGAGCCCCCTCCCCCGCCCCCTTTTGAGACAGGGTCTCACTAAGTTGCTGAGGATCTGGCTTTGAACTTGTGATTTTCCTGCCTCAGCCTCCTGAGGTGCTAGGATCACAGGTGTGCACCACCACAGCTGGCATGGGGGAATAATTTCTACTGAGACAAATAAAGTAGGGATTACCAGGCATGGGAGATGGTTTGCAATTTTAAATAGAGAGGCCAAGGAAGGCCTCACCAGGTGGCATTTAAGCTGAGATCTGAAGGAAGTTAGGGGGTAAATGATGATTTTTTTGGGGGGTGGCAAGGAGAGTGTTGGTCAGAGGGAATAGCAGGTGGACAGGCTCCAAGACACATTATGAGTCTAATGTAATCTTTATACCAAGACCCAATGACACAAGGGGAAAGGAAAAGTTGCTGAAATCCTAAACAAAGTTCAGTTGAGCCCAAAGATGTTTCCATCAACAATGGGTATCTATATATAACAATGGTATCCTAAGATTATATCACCTAGTGACGTTTTAGCTTAGTACACTTAGTACAAGTACACTCCATGCACAATAATAACCAACGCACAAGTCTCAGACAATACCATTAAGCAACATGTGACTGTGTTAGCATCCAGCAATTCCTAAAAAAGGATGACATGCCACCATTAAATTGAGCTAATAAGACTGCAAAGCTTGAGTGACATTTAAATAAATAATCTAATTCATCAGATTTAAGATGTTATGTGAAAGGGGATATATAAGAACACCTCAACTGGTACAGAGAAATTCTTCATAATTAAAAAAATCTTCTATAACAAATTAGGAATAGAAAGTCTTCTTTTCTTTTCTTTTTCAGCGCTGGGGATGGAATTCAGATTCTCACCCAGGCAAGCACTCTATCACTGAGCTACATTCCCATTCCAAGAATAGTTTTTTTTTTTTTCATGATGTTAGGGTACAAGTGATCTACAACACATACCAAATATAATGGAGAAAAATTATAGTTTCCCCTGTGAGATTGTGAATGAGAACATTTACTTTATCCATTTCCGTGTAACACCATTCATAAGGTCATAGCCAATGCAATAAGGCATGAAAAAGAAAAAGGTTTGGGAAGGGTAGCAAAACTGTCATGGTTTGCTGATATGACTGGGAATGTGCAAGGATCTTAAGATGTGGGTTATTTGCCTGTTGGAAGAACATAGTGATGATTTTGTGTGGCTGGAATAGAGAGCAGGGATTGTGGGATTCAGGATTCAAGGAATACAGAGTGATAATATTATTGTAATGGTTTCCATTCTTGAAAGCCAGGCACCACTATGGGCACTTGAGAGAAATGTTGAATCTGCACAATAGCTGTGGATCTCCACACTCCAGACTAGGCACCAAGGCTTAGGAAAGTTAAGGTTAGGAGGTCACCCAACGGTGGCATAGTCAGCATCTGAAAGTAGGTTGGTCTGATTTCAAAGCATGTCATTTTAAGCTGTTGGTGTGTGAACTGAGGTCAGCCTCCTTTGAGGTTGCCCCCCCCCGTGACCAATTTGTTGGCACCCTTGAGCGTGGTGGAGAATGAAGGGCCCTGACTAAAGCTGAGTAAGTTGGTAAGAAGAGGTGAGACCAGCCAGGGCTTTTCATGAAGGAAACCTGAAGCTCCTAAGAGTTGAGATTTGTTGGTGGACCACCAAGAAGTTAATTTTGACTGGATTCTAGGGTCTGAGGTAGGAGGGTAGTGACTAGAGGACCTTGAAGGCTCTAATGAGAGCCCACACCTCCTGAGGGCAATGAGGGACCATTGCAGGTTCTCAGCACAGGAGGGGTAGAACAGCTCTTTGCTTCAGCAAGACCCATTATTTCATCAGCCTCATTTCCTCCTAATCTTCCCTTTCCTTAGTTCCAGAAACAGCTTCTTAGGTGTTTCTCATACACAGCAGGCCTCCACCCCTTGCCTTTGCCTTTGCTGTGCCCTATTCATGGGCCACCCTCCCTCTAGTGATCTAGAGTGCCTGCCCTCCCCTCCTCCAGGCCCCTGGTCAACATACACCCCATCCCCATTCCTTGCCTTATTTCTCACCTTAGCCTTTACCATCACTTTACCATCTTTTAATGTTTATTGTTCATCTTGCTAGAAGTGAACTTCATGAGTATCTAATGGAGTCAGAGAGGTGTATTGAGACTTCAGCTAAGTGCCTCTGGCAAGTACCTTCCTTGGGTAGGGAAATTGCATGAATAAGAACAGGGGCCTCAGAAGCCAAATCCCTTTTCTGGAATCCTGGCTCTGCTGCATCCTAACCGAGTAATATTGGATAATCAACCTAACTTCTTTGGTTCAGTCTCCTCTGTGGAACAGGGACAGATATGCACTAAGGTCAGCTGTGAGAACTAGATTCTAATGTAAGAGTGCTGGTGAGTGTGGGGTAAATGCGCTAGCTACCATCTGCCTCAGTTCCTAGTTGTTAATGCGTGGAGGGGTCAGTGGTTTCCTGTGAGGACAACCCTGCTTGACTCTTTAGACCCCACAGCCAAGGCAGGCCCCTCCCTGTGTGGGTCCCCCACCCCTGGCTCCTGGCCGCCTCTCACAGGCTGAGGTCGCAACTGATGCTGGTCTGCAGCAAGTAGGCCTTGGCATTCTGCACAGCCAGCTCCCGAGGCTGCGGCTCAGGCATCTCCATACCGAAATTCATGAAGCCCATCTCCGAGGGTGAGAAACGCAGGGCAGGGTCATCCCTTAGGTAGGGCCCATGTTCTGTGTTTTGCATGAACTGCGGGTCATCTGTCTGGTACATGCTGTACTGGCCCAAGACATTGGCCCCAGGGTCCTGGTAGACAGGGGATTCCAGTTGTTGGAAGAAGCCGCCTTGGCTCTGCTGCAGCTGCTGCAGGTGCTGCAACTGCTGCATTAGGTCGGTGGTTTGTTCCTCCACTGGGATTCCGCTTTCATCCAGGTAAGTCCGGGTCTGGAACTGCAAGGGAAAGCCTGCGCTCGAGGGCTGGTACTCCACGCCGCCCATTATGCCTTCCTCCGCTTGGTACAGCGGCAAGTTCTCATCTTCGGGCAAGTTGCCCCCCTGTGACCAGCGGAGGTTGGTCTGGCTCGCCCGCAACTCCTGACTGGGCCGGCTGCCCCGACTGCCCCTTTGCTGGTTCAGCAGGGCCTGCTGCACCTCCTCGGGGAACGCCTGGGCCTGTGAGGGGTCCCAGCTGCGCCGCTGCGCCTGGGCCTGGGAGCCCCTCCGGCTCGAGGACTGCTGGGAAGGGGCCTCAGGGTTGGGCGGCGGCGGGTCCCCCATGGCTTGAAAGGGGGCGCAGACGACTAGAAGGAAGGCTTAAGAACAGGAAGGCCAGACCAGTCACCCGCAAACCCGGCTGCCGCAGAGCCAGGGTCGCCGGCCTTTAAGGTCTGGAGGGGCGGCCGTTACTAAAGGGCGCGGGACGCCCGCGCGCGTGAGCAGCGTGTGCGCAGGCGCAACCAGGGGCTTCCAGCATCGAGGGCCACAGGGCACCCACATGGCGGCAGAGAGCAGAGGGCACCTGTGCCCAGACCGTTTCCTTTATTGTTTTTAAGGCAAAACACCCACCGCCCGGCCCGCCCCGCCCCCCACGTCCCCGTCAGCTGTTCCCCTTGGTCTCCGGCTCCCCCGCTTCCTCCGTGGTGGGGCTAGGGGTCTTCACAGCGTCTTCCCCCGCAGGGGCGAGGGTCTGGGGGCTCCGCTCTTCCTTTGAGGTCAGCCCGCCGGCTGTTGCTTCCTGGTGGCAGAAAGCAAGGGGCAGTACATCAAGAGTGTGGTCGCACCTCCAAACCCTCATCGCCCCACTCCCCCGGCCTGGCATACACTTCACCGAGCTTTGAGTCTTCCACTGCATCTCTGATCGTCACCCCTACCTTAGGCAAGGGCCCCTCAAGACTAGAGTCCAGGAGTGCGGCCTCGGTCAGCCCAGAGTCGTCATCCATGCTGATGAAGATGGCAGGGGTCTCGCACTCAGGCCCCTCCTCCCGAAAATCCATGGTTTCCTCCGTGGGGGCAGGACCCTGTCGGGCTGAGGACGAGGAAGACGCCACAGGGACTCCCGAGCCTCCAGGCTTCAGCTTTTGTTCCTCCTCTAGCTGCCGCTTTAAGGCCTTTTCCTGGGCCAGCCGCAGGCCGATGAGGTCCTGAGGGGGCCGAGGGGCCGGAGCAGGGGCCAGAGCCAGGGGTTCCAGGTCGTCCTGGGGATGGGGAGGGGCACACAGAAGCTCAGGGAGAGTGCTCGCAGAGGATGGGGTAAAGGAGTCAGAGACCACCCTGCTGCGGAGAGCAAGGAAGGTGCTAGGTCAGGAGCGTCTTATCGTGAGCGCAGGGAGGACGGGGGCAATTAAAAGGGCCGCCCTCTTTCAGTAGGAGGGTATGCTGACACAGGTAGTCTAGGCAGCTGGCACCTCTCAGGGTGGGAGGAGGTGGGAGGCTCTTGCCGGCTCGGATTGACAGGGTTGGGGAATCTAGACTGGTGGGCTGCAGGACCCTCACCTCTTCCAGGGACCCTGCAGGTGCCTCCTTGGCCTCTGGCTCTTGCTTGCCACTGGCCTCCAAGATGGTCATGATCGAGTTGGGGATGTGTGCTTGCTAGGTGAAGAGCAGGAGGAGGCGCTGTGGAGAACTCTGGCTCGGAGGCCCTCTTAGGCACCCCCAAAACCTCTAGAGTCCTTGATCTTCTGTGGCACAATAGGGATCCCTTTGCACCACCATACCGCCCCGGGAGCTACCCATCCACACCCTGGGGTACCTGGTGGGGGGTGAAGGAGCGCACGTGGGCCAGCAGGGGCTCCCGGAGCTCAGGGCACTTGTCAAAGACAGCTCCCAGCTGCTGGGGTGGCAGCTGCAGGATGACCTGGAAGCTCTGGGGCTTGGTTCGTTGGCAGCACTTGATGAAGCCCTCCCACACTTTGGGATACTTCCACACCTGGACCAGGCAGGGAGGGAGCTGTTGGGAGGAGCTGCAGGCAGCCACCCAGTGGAAACTGGGCAAAGACCTTGCTGAGACCATAACCCAAATCCCATTGTCTGAGATTCTTCTGGGCTATACACAGCTCTGCCCTCCCACTGGGGGGGCTCTGCCTTCCCAATCCAGGCAGCTGGAACATGAAGACAACTTGGGAAAGGAAAACACTAAGACCCGTCCTCCCCTCCCGCCAGCTCTCCTTTGTCAGTCTAGACGAAATGCTCCACAAGCAAGGTCTCATGTATTCTCACAGTAGCCTCAAGAGGGCGACCTTACCCCTGTTAAAAAAAGGAGGAAGAAGTACAGGGACTTGTCCAGGGTCACAGGAGGTGGGGGCAGAAACCAAATTTGAACCTGTCTGTTTCTGCATTGAGCTTCTAAGCCAGATGTTGCAAAGCGGCAGTCTTTGTGCTACTATCTGGTGCTTGCAGGTGAAATTTTTTTGGGGGTCATTATTTCTTCTTTGGTACTGAACCCAGGGGTGTTCTACTACTCAGCTACACCCTAGCCCTTTTTATTTTGATAGGGTATTATTGCTAAGTTGCTGAAGCTGGCCTCAAACTTGTGATCCTCCTGTTTCAGCCTCCCAGATCACTGGGATTACAGGCATGTACCACCATGCCCAGCTTGGTATTTCTAAAAGCTCTGATTTCTCATCTATTGAAAACTGGCCTATCTTTCAGCTGTGGGATGCATCTTGGCCAGGTGCAGTGCTGTGTGCAGCCCCTCAAGCCTACACTGCTCCTACCACCCAGCCGCCCTCACTCACCACCCTGTGGCCTTCCGAGTCACAGGCCCCTGGAGCACTGTGCTTTCTTGGCAGGAGGCAGAGCAAGGGGTCTCTGATGGGCCTGCTCAGCCAGGCTCCCCTTGGGGGGAGGAGGGCTCAGGTGGTCTCCAGTCTCTCCTCAGCACCACCTCTGCAGTCTGTTCCTGGGGGCCAGGGCTGGATGGCCAAGGGCAGGTTACCTGCTTCATGATGAGGCGGGAGAGGATGTTCATGACGAAGCCCCCCAGGCGGGGGTACATGGTCAGGGACTGGATGACGGTCCTCATGAGCAGCATGGGCAGGGGGCTCTGCTCCATCAGCTGCTGCATCACCACGGCCAGCACCTCCGACGTGTATACGTTCCGCTCCGCAAAGCACAGGTTGGTGGCTGTGAGGAGGCGGAGAGTGGGCCTGTCCTCTCTTTGCCCAGCCACCCCTGGGGAGTGGGAGTCCAACCACCCTTGGAGAGCCTCAGCCCTGCTGCCACGTGTGAGGACAGGGGCCGCCTCAGTTTCCTGGAGCTCCCAGGCCCCAGCAGAAGGCCCCCTCCTGAGGGCACATTTCAGCTTGGCCTTTGGTCACCTATGGGCTTAGTGCTAGGGGGGAGACATGTCCTACTACCTGGAAACCTTATGCCAGGCACACTGGGGACACCATAGCCCCTTTGAAGACAGCCCTGGGAAAGTAGCTACTGACTTCCATACGCCTCTCCAGAGGGGACAGAAGGTGGCCCTCCACCAGGCTGGTCAGGAGCATAAGGGTCTGTGCTGGTGCTGGGATGATGGGGGATACCAGGGCTGGCAGGTGTGAGGACACAGGGACACAGCAGGTTCTCAGGCAAAGGAGGGACAAGATGAGGATGGGGCTGGGACATATGATGAATCCCCAGCAGCAGGAGTCAGAAAGGCTGGCCTTGGGGTCTGTACCCCCAGGAGTGGTGGCAGCACCCCATCCACTGTGCTAGTAGGGAAACCCAGGAGCTGCCTCAAGCCCACCTTCCCCAAACACCACTTGCCATGTGAATCTGTCAACAAGGAAGTCTTTATTGAGTCATAAGATCCCCCAATCCTTGAGAGATTAGTGGAGAATGGGGTGGGATGGTCCTACAAGGAACAGGGGGCCCAGAGAGGAAGGAGGGGTGTTCTTCAGGAAGACAGACCCAGGAAAAAGGCTGAAGGGACAGAGGAGAGTGCAACCAGAGGACCTGCCGGAAACTGAGGAGGCACCTATTCCTCGTTCTCATGACCAGAGGCCATGGGTCCAGCCTGCTCTGCAGCCTAGAGGCCTCCAGAGCCAACCCCCTTCCCTAGCCCAACCCTCACTCCTGCCCAGCCTCCTCCAGGGCTGCCCGCTCAGCCTCTAATATGCTCTCCACATAGGAGCCTAAGGGGTCTCCCACAAGCTCAAACCTGACCCTCTTTCCCCAAGAGGACCGAGAGAGATAAAGGACAAATCACCACTGGGGCCTATAGGACTCCATGTGGGCAGCCAACCTGGCCTCCACCTGGCTCTGGCTGGTGCAGCCCTGGACCACTTCACCCCTACTTAGCCTTCCTGCTCTCCTTGGGCTACTACCTTCTCCAGGAAGTCCCACAGCCAGGCTAGGTCAGACAGGTCCTCCTGGCTGCCCTATCAGAGCCCTGTCCTCTGAGCTGAGATTGTCCCAGCAGTCTCCCTCTCTGGACTCTGAATCTGGAAGGACAGGACTGGGTCTGACACCATCTCTGCATGATCCCAGCATCAGCCAGAACAGGGCTGAGCCAAGTGCTAGGGTGGGTCTAGTTAGAAGTGGGGGAGCACTTGCTGAGTATGTATGAGGCCTTGGGTTCCATCCCCGGTACCCACCCCCCCAACGGGGCATTCAAGGAGTCTAATGACCATTCCTGGGCCATGACATTTTCTTCCCACTGCTATTCATTAGATGCCAGTGTGTGTATATGTGTGGTAGGGGTTGAATGGCAGGGGCACTGGCTCCAAAGTCACAGGTGAAGACCGGACTTCTCAGTCTGGGTCTTGTGGTGCTGGTGCTAGTGCAGCCAGGACTACTGGGGCCTAAGCAAGAAGTATGCTCTGAGCCGGGCTGGGCTGGCTGGGCTGGTGGACTGGGTGCAAGGATTCAGCAGGAATGGCGGTCGTGTGCAGGTGTGAGAGCCCGGCAAGAAAAAGGGGTGGTGAAGAGGGGCAGGCCCTGATGAAGCTTTCAGGACCCTGGCTGCTGGCCACCTGCATGACTGTTGGCAAGGCCCTTTTCCTCCCTGGGCCATGGTTTCTCCACCCTAGGCTGATCAGGGCTTCTGCTCCAGGTGCAAGGACAGTCTTAGTGGGTATGATGGAGTTTGTTGATCCCCTCAAACTGTATGCAATCTATCCGAACATGTTGCCCTTGGGAACAGGGCAGAACTTTGCTCAGTACTTCAAAGGGGTTGAGGAGAGGAGGGGGTGTAGCTGGTGGAAAAGCACATGCTTAGCACGCATGAGGCCCCGGGTTCAATCCCCAGCACTGCAAAAAAATGCAGGTTGCAGGTGGCACGAGGAGCCTAATGC